TTTAGTGAAAAAATGTGCGCAAATATGCCCAATGGTTTATCGTTTTTTTCCATGCAATTCAACTCTAAACGATGAGCTGAAAAAACTGTTAAAAAAAATAAAGCTAAAAGTGAACAAAGGAATATTTGAGAACTTTTGTTATAAAAAATATTTACACCTATGTATACTGTGAATAGAAAAATAGAAACAATAAACAAACTAAAAAAATGAATTGAAAGCAAAAATTGCAAATAAAAAACGCTTATTTGACCACCGCAATAAAGTGGCAGGCAACAAAGTTTCAAAACAACAAACTATGCACACAACAATCATGACTACATACACACATACACGTTCATAACTGGGGGTGCAGATCGCCAACAGCAATATGCCATAGAGCAACAATGAAAGCGAAATATTTATAAAAAATAATCGAAAAACAAAACGAAGACAAAAAATTATTTCAATAAAAAACCATTTTAATAAAAAATTAAAATAACGAAGACTTACATTTGCTGAAAAGAAGTAAAGATTTAAATAAATTTAAAACACGAACTGTTGGTATATATAATGTATATAAAGTAAAACTAAATTAATATAAAGCAATTGACATGGCGATGAAAATATATGAAATATGTTCAACAGAAAATATAAATCTTTTCTTTTTTATTTTTACGTTTTTTGGAATGTATTGCATGTATATATAGAGCTTTATTTAAAAGAGTATTTTGATATTTTTGCGCATTAAAATATATGCAAAATATGTGAGACTATGCAGTGTTGGAATTCAAAAACAAATAACAAATGTTTTATTCATTAGTAAAGAAAAGTATTAAATTATAAATATAATAAATAGCAAACAATTAGAGTAAATTGAAATTGTGAAAATTAAAATTTAATTAAAAAATTAAATTCTAGTAAAATTTCGTTCCAAAAATGTTTATATATATACAGTTACAGTTGTTTATATAACTTAATTTAAACATATGCCAAAAACGTGTTGAACCATGGCAAATATGCGTCAGATGCGAATGCATAAAAAATATTTTTTTTTTTAATGCAAATAAAATAACGAAACAATTTACTTGCAGAGGAAATAAATACAAAAATATGCGGAAGTAGTCGCCGGTTTATTCAAAAATTTGCAAAAAAAAAAGTAATTCTCCATAAATTTTATATGTGGTAATACATGTCGTATGAGTAACGTTAGCGCAAAAATAAATAAGTAAATTGAAATAAAATAAAATAAAATAAAAAAAATATAATAAAATAAAATAAAATAAAACAAAATAAAATGAAATAAAATAAAATAAAATAAAATATGATAAAATAAAATAAAATAAAATAAAATAAAATAAAATAAAATAAAATAAAATAAAATAAAATAAAATAAAATAAAATAAATTAAACCAAAATAAATACATGTAATATTATGTTTAATGAATTTTTCCAAGCTGAAGTGAAGTGCCTTAAAGTGTTTACTTTTTGTACTACCTTCCGCGTAAGAAAAAAAAAAACAGTAGCAAGCACTAAAATGTTTTGCTACTATTTATGGCCCATCACTACATGTGTTCTATGCCAAACAATCATGATTTTTATATGTGGTGACACATATTGTATGAGTAACTGCCACTTTTTACTAGCGAATGTACTTGGAGAACTGAACTTTATATATATAGGTGAATACTCAACAATTTTTTGTTATGCAATATAATGTTGTATACTAATAGACATCTCATTACCCATAGTTACAACAACATTACCAAGTAATGACCAAGTGAGCGCGCGCATACAAATGCCCATCCAAGTATCTAAATATCTCACATCAGAGCCTCCACATCGTTAGTTTTTATTACTAGCGGGAATATATGTGAGCACATGTGTATGTTTAACAGAACTCGTGGCTTATTTAGTGTAACGAATTAAGTGGTAGGACATGTCGAGCACTGTGGAGACTTGTGCCTTTCTATTATTTAGCAAATTATATTAATATATACTCTAAGGAGAAGCTTGAACACTATTTAAAGTAAACAAATGCCGGATTTTGACGGTATTGTTTTAAAAGTCTTTTGTGTAAAATACCATTTTTATTGCTAAAGCCAAAAGGAGAGTTTTTCTCTTTCTATCGATATTTCAGAAAGTTGTATCGGGATTTCCAACTCTAGCGTGTAACCACGTATGTTTACTTACAACAAAACCTTTTATTTTTGTAGACTTTTACCCAAGTAATGAGACAGCCAGAGGGCTATATTTGTTCTTGTCAAAGCAAGTGGTATTTACAGCCTTTGGGCATTCAAGTAAAACACTTACATATACATGTATATATATTTATAGTCCACCAAGAAATTAGTTGTATTGTGTATGTCTGTATGTGTCTGTTGCTAGATAAAGCAGTCTCAACAAGTTAATGAATGAATATCCTTTTATCATTTCTAATTTGTTCATTATTATTATGACCAAAGGTTTTTAATGTTGTTGTTTTTATAGCACCTCGTTATAATTGAATGCGAAAATATTTATGTACAGAATCATATATTTATGAATAATTAGTAAACTGGAAAGATTTAATTCAAAACCACACCCAAAGGGACTATTTAAAGATATGGGTTTTGGGGGAAACATTTCTGAATTGAAAGAAAAAAATAAAAAAAGAAACTATTTGTTGTCAAACGTAAGGGAAAACTTGACATTGTCAGTTACGGACAGATGAACATGTCTAGATGAAATTTATATGGCTTTGTTTCACTTCCTTCTGATATTTACATACCTCGGACAAAAGGCGTAATGCCATTTCATGTTCATGAAACGAGTGAAAATAAGCTGTCTCCGTACGTCTATTTACCAGAGGTGTCGCTGTACGAATGTGTTTAAAATCTAAATGCTTCGAACCAAGCAAGGTTATGCGTTGAGTTTGAGATCTTTTAAGTTAAAGCTAGTTACCCATTTCTGATGACGATCACTGCATAAATTTATTTAATTTAACGGCACTGCGATGGCCGGGTCAAGTCCAGTAAAAGATATAAACTTCTTTCAACTTTTATTACAGTGGCCACATAGAGGTAGACATGCTTGGAAATGTGGAGGGAGAGGGGCTCATATACCGAGTACTATCTTTCACACTGATAAATGGTTTTCACAAACGCTTCGCTACAGTCCGCTTCACAGAAAAGCTCTGCAACGTATCGCTGACCCACGCCTAGAAGGAAGAGAAGTACGATGTGATCCTAATGCCTTCAGTGAGTGCATGTAACGTATATCAGACCATTTTCCTTGTCCCGAAATTAAAATCGTGGTTGTCAATTGTAACGTCAGAGTGAGCAAAGAAATCTTTTTTGGCAGAAAAATCGTAAAACTTAGCCTTCGTGACAAAACATACCTGAACAAGCTGAGACTGTTCGACTTCCCGGAGGCACGAAATACGGTTATTTGTAATACCAAAGCCTGACAGAAAATATATTCAAAAACGAGCGACAACTAACACAGAAAGGAACTGTACTTAAAGCTCCCTACATATAGCTGCAGGGGAAGCTATAATAATAGTATGGCGAGCCGAAAAGTGAGGCAAAATGGATTAGCAGACGATAGCAGCAAGTGGCTGAAATGCCCGCGTGCGCGCAGGTTAAGGAGATGAAAATTTTACGAAAAAATTTTGCGTCCTCTAGAAGGTTTTTAGAAAGGGGATTTTTTCTATTGTAACAAGAAAGTGGATCTGCAGGCTGAGGTTCGAAGTAATATATATTTGGTTTATGGAGTGAGCACTTCTTCAACCTGCCCAAACTTCAGTGAAAGTAAAACCTACGGAGATAACGAACTCGCCTCATCATAATCTTGGCTTACCGGCTAAGCCACCGGTGGAGTAGAGGAAAAGGAAGCTTTATACTTCGCTGGAAATACCAGACGAATAATGGAATAATGATTTGACGATATTTAGTATTTACATTTGGCGGCAAGCAGCGATAAGAAGTAATGCTGTTGCAAACTCGGCCATTATCTCGTAAGCATTGCATACAGTAAAGAAGATGAAGAATTTGATACCTTTCAAATAATCCTCACTACGGACTATGCACCTGCGGTAGCGTTCCGTTCCCCGGAACACTTTCTAAACTAGATATCTGAAAAGCGTTTAGTTCGTTCAGCATTGAGCTTTTGATCTGAACTGTGGCTATAATACGAAGCTTCGGAATAGGAAGGCCTCCACTAGGCTAGAGAGGCTAGGGAGGCCAGATGGCTTGAAACTGTTCTTATAGCTATTGGAAACTAATTCTTATCCGTTGCAATATCAGTTTGGACGAAGCTTTCGTATATATCGGCGTCAGTACAAAGCAAAGTTAAGCAATATTTTGGTACTTGTACGGGACTTTATGATGACTTTTAAGAAACCAATTGGAGACGTTAATATAATAATAGACCAGGTTTTCGCCGCATTATGGAGATTGCTTCGGCGACTTTGTTTCTTTAAAAATATCTTTTTTAATCATATTTTTTGATTGGCGGAGACACCGCTGGAAACCTCTTCAGTGCGAGCACTAAACGAAAAATTGGGTTAATCCCTTCAGAACTAAGGTCATGTGGTCTGGTTTACTGCTAATGTTAACTGTTATTATCTGCTTCAACCAATTTTTTTCTTTCAACATCAAAATGTACTCATTCAGATTGATTACCGTTACTTTGTGCAATTAATCGTCTAATGAAGTTTAACCCCGCTCACAATGAGTTATGTTGGTCATCCATTTTATTGTCATACCTCGAAATTGCAATGTTCAATTAACTCAATGCTTTGCTGTGTGAATGAAAAAAATGTCTGACACAACGAAAGTGGTGCGATGAGGATGGCGAGAAAAGCGTAGAATGACCATTAAAAAAAAATATATATATATGCAGAGACTAACAAGCTGCTTAAATACTTTGAATATACCCCTTTCTACATATACCAACAGAGAATGACATAAGCATAAATATAGATGAACGTGTATGGGTGTATGTGTGTGTGTGTGTGTAGAAGTGTATGTACATTTACTTACCTACAGTAGATGCCAATCATGACCAAACATGGAAAATAGAAACTGATACAACTCGACACGACCGCATAGGTTGGCGTCAAGTCCAGCGCACATGTGGGATACCGTTTGCCATTATCCTCAACGATTAACGGTTGCTCCGGTCGATGCAGACCCAATGAGATTGGCACAAACGAGACAAATGCGGCCAACAACCAAATGGCAGCAATTGTAATGACGGCAACACGTCGTGTCACCCAACGACCATATCTGCAAAGAGAGAAGAACAGAAAGCCCCGTAAGAGAGTATATGAGCATTTGCGTTTGTATATGAGTGAGTAAAAGTAAGGTAAATTACAACAAGAACTAAAGTTGATATGAACTGCTGCTGACTGAGCTGTATCTGCATTAAGTAGGTAAATCAAGTGGCTGGATGCTGGCAAAATTCTCGACTACGTATGTGTGTTCTTGTTGTTTGAATGTGTTTGGTTACACACATACATATGTATATAATAATACGTTCGTATATTTTCTTGCATTTATTACTCTTTTTTTTGATTGTTTGTTGCATTCAGCTGCTGACAATTGGGTTTCCAGCGAGTAATTGTCGTGACAGTAAAATGCCCGGCTGTTGATGTTGTGGTCGTCGTCGTTGTCGTTGTTATTGTTTTTGGCGCATTGCCGTTTTTATGCTGTTATTCTCTGTGTACGTTGGTGAAAAATGTACAAGATTGTGTCTAGAGCAAAGCTTTTTTTTCGACTTTTCAACGCCAACCGCACGCGTTGTGATTGGAAAATAGCAATTTTCTAAGCGAAGATGTTCAGTTTTCATTGAGTCTGTTATTGACGCATTGTTTGTGTACTTTTTTTCAGCAAAACTGATCGCATTTGATAAGCATTGCTGGTGAGTTGTGGTAAAAAGTGACAAAACCGAACACTTTTTTCCTTTTTTTTGGGTTTAGAAGACAGGCAAGCAAAATAAAAATTAAATCAAATCTCAGTCATACCGAAAATTCAAATAGACATTTTCTTTAACAGAAATTTTGTACAGAAAAAATTTAAAATGCAATAAAAATTGTTTTCAAAGGGGTATTCACAAAAAATTTAGCTAAAAATGCTGAGGAGGGAATAAAATCGATCGATATATTATACATATACACGTATGCATAAGGGCTTTGTCCTAAATGACTGACGGATCAATCCACAACATAAACCACTGATTGTAGAGACTTGAAGCTTGGAGGATGTGTTTTGTGTAAGAAATGTGCACCTGATAAGTAAGAATCATCTTTTGTGCACAAGTAACTTTTTCTCTAAATTAAGATGTGGAAGAGTTCATCTTCCAGAAAGTGAACCCGGGACCGATATATTCGAAAAATCTGTATTTGAGCCCAAATTACCATTGGGAACTATTTTTATTCCAGGAAGTGGGCTTGGGATCGATTTGTTTGAAACAAAATACTATTGGGCACAATTGCGATATGAATTTTTTGCCAAAAATGCTGTCAAGTAATGAGGGCTCTTTAGCAAATGAGCAGAAACATATTTATTAAACCAGTGGAATTTTTAAGACTTTCATATTAAACTTATTTTTAGTCAAAGTGTGAAGTAAACATGATATCGCCCTAGAAGTCATGACGTTTGGAGGAGTTATTGTGTTGCAGCAGGAGATTTTCGTCTTACTTTACCAATTACCAATAGCGCCCAGGTGAATGCGAGCGAATACAGTTTATGGCCTTCAGTGAAAAAACTGAACCTCACCAAATCTCTGAGAGCCCCTTTGAGAAGAGATGTTATTGCCGAACAGCTCTCACGTTTGTTGGTGACAATGTGAAATGGTGATTTACCGAATCTGTTTCGGCTGTGGCAGAGTTTATGGCTACAATTTAACAAAGCATGGAGATTATTCACGATAAGCCTGCCGAATAAAAAACAAAAAATATTGTCTATTATGAAATGTAAGCTTGCATTCCATCATTCGCGGGTAAAGACTCATTAATAACAAACACTACATTTATATTTATATATAATATATAATTGACGTTTTGCAACTTTTGAAGCAATTTTTCGGCCGAGCTCCTCCTTTAGTTGGTGGCTTTTGCTTCTTGATATTTTTCCAACGAATAGAGTGACCTACAGTTTATACTAAGCCGCCTCCGAACGGCTGATGCCTTTTTGTTACGAGGATCCTTTTTTTCATGTCCGAAATACACTCGGAGGGGTAGACATTCAGACATTCCCTGTCGAAAATGACTCCAGTTAGAAAATTTAACTTACTTTTTTATTTAAAGTAATTTTCATAAATTTTGTTGGTAATGTTGGCCGTTGGTGGCGCCGGGATATGAACCCGAGCCTTCCGAATGTCAGGACGCAATGCTAACCACTCGGCTTTGGAGCTGGCATATTCATACCAACAACACATCAATATATCACATCACATCGACATATCACATCACATCAACATATCACATCATATCAACATATCACATCACATCAGCAGCACATCAGTAGATCAACATACCACCGTAACAACAATATACGTCACACAGTAGCACCATAGAAAATTCATGTATATGTAATAGCACACATGAGTCGTGAGTCGACTGCTGTAGTCTCAGGTAGCAATCATTTCCAGTGTAACTCGTTGATCTTCGCCAATTTTGGATAAAAAAAAAATTCAAAGCCACCAATGACCGAATATTTGATAATCCTCTCTTGCATGTGTGTATATACTGGCCAGATCTTACTCAGTGCTCTGAAAAATTCGCGATGTTATCGATGGCTGCAGTAGTTCTACTGGCTTTCTATAAAGCAATACTTTTTTCCAGAACTATTTTTTACCGCTATTATTTGATTTATACTCAGTTTGGCTGGTCATTTAACAATGAGGCCGAGTGCATTATCTCGCGTCGTGTGACTATGCCGTGGCTTCCAAGGTCGTGTAATTTAACATCGCTGGACCAGTTTTTCGTTAGGTAAGGAGAAACCACGTGCCTGCCCAGATAAGCTTAAGACGATAGATGTCTTGGGAGTGAATTTTCGATTTTGAACTAAGAGTTTGGCTCTATGTGGAAGATTTTTTACCAATCCCTCCAAAAACCACAACAAAACCTTTCTGACCGTCAATACTGGCTTGAAGAGCGGTTGTGCCTTCGACCACAATCTTTTTCATACATCGAGTTTCATGGCATATCCGGTAATCCGCAACTAGACCATTAAAAGTGCACAAGTTTCTAAAAACAACATTCTTGGCCTAAACTGTTTTGAACTTTCCTCAAACTACTGTCGCATGCTCTTCAATTTTTTTTAGGTTATTTTCCAATTTTTTTAAGCAATCTTTTTCTTCTACAGTCTTCTGTTGTTGTTTAATAATTTAACTATTGGCCTTTGCCTTGGGTTTAATGATGCATATAATGCTGATGAAAATTAGCTTGTCCTTGAGTCTTGAAAAATTCAATACAAGAGCCCAACAACAACAACCATCGCTCTTCGAAATGAGAAAAAACACAAACATTTCTAGCAGGCAAATTAATGCTGCTCGCTTGGCAAAAGAAAATGAAAAAGTTTGCAAGCTCATCTAATGCTTTCCTTCATCCCTCTCTCTTTATCTCTTTCTGTTTTTGCTTATTTACCCGTTTTTTTCTGCAAAATTGACACGCAACTCGCTTGCTTGGTTCCATTCATTAGATCTGCATGAAAATGTAATTTGTACACTTTGGCTGGGATGTGTGGAGAATTTGTAATTCGACGGTGATGTTTTACCCGCAGCATGACACTGAGGATGATCCCATATTGAGAAGAGGCATGAGTGCTGACATATATGTACATATATATGCATATGTATGTGCATATATTGAGCTTTTTTTTAGATTCATGTACATTTTGACAGTCCTTAATAATATAAATTAGATTTTAGTTTTTCAGACATATTTGAAAACAATATTAGAAATTCAGACAAAAAGCCTAGAAAAAGGTATCCTATAATAAAAAATTTGTCTAAAATTAATTGAAGAGGTTAAAGTAATCGGCTCTTTGTGATCTTAACTTTAATTACATTAAGCAACTTTTTAAGTTGTCTATAGAAAGTCAAAATAGAATGGTGATTCTTTCTAAAAGGTTTTATATTTTATGATATTTACTAGCTTGTAATATAAAAATGTGTGTGTGTGTGTCTGTTATTTATATGTATTTAACTCATTCTAACTGATGACAATTTTTTTATGAGTGCTCAAGTGCTTTGGAGAATGGTTTAGATATGCAATTTGGTACGAGAATGAGGACCGCCGCATCTCCTCATTGGATTTACTTTGGTAGGTATAGCTTAGCAATCGTTTCGTTTTGCATTATGAATGAATAGAAGTATGAAGTTACACTCGCGGGGCCACGCTTAATTTCTGTTATTGCGCCACCAACCTTTGTGCAAAATACGGCAGCCAACTAGTAAGGGGCTTTGGGTCACGACGAAAAGAGAGAAAGTTTAGGTGGAACACATTGAGTTGAAGTGTTCGCTGAGGTCTAATTACAGCATCTGTTCACCAGAGGTCGACTGCGTGCGGGCATCAGTCTTTAAACAAACAGTATAAGCCGTAGGCGCTTTGTAACCGATGAAGCGATTTTCCGCCGAGCTCCTCATCCATTGATGTTTTTTTTCCAACAAATGGAGGGACCTACAGTTTATGTTAAACCGCCTCCGAACGGCATATCCTTTTTTATGAGAAGCTTTGATTTTCATGTCAGAAATGCACTCGAAGGGGGTGGCATTCCCTGCCGAGGGGTGACCGCAATTTGTAAATTTAGCTTAATTTTTTCTTTAAATTAGTTTTCTATAATTTCCGCTAAGCGACTAACTGTAAAAATACACGTATGTGTCAAATTCAAACCTACCCGCCTTAAACCTTCTCCGATCCTAATTTTGATAACAACCCCTGAAAATGTATGAAGGACTATGACTTGAAGGCACCCACCTAAAATGCCCAGTCCCTTAATTGAGCGAGTGTTGCTGTGAAGTTGGTTTATGTCCTCATGAAACTGAATGCTGACTTTAGCGCCGTCCAAGATGTGCCATGGACGAGACAAGGACGGGGATGGATAAATTAGTGTGACTGTGAATATCGTGGCCAAATTTGGTGTTAAACGCATGGTGGGACAGAGACTCTGTAGTCGAGTCCTAGTACTCACCCGTACGCATGAATATGTTGCTACAAACCGCGTCAAAACAAAGTTTTCTTTAATAAATCGTTGATTTTGCGCACACATTCCGACAGAAGCGA